GGCCAATTAAAGCCAATTAAATACAGGTTCAAAATAAATCTAGTGCCTTTGTCTAGGGCCCAATGTCTCCGATTAGCCCATATGGATTAATATAGCTACATACGTACGTACGTACGTATATACATATATATACGTATCAAATATTAATACGTTAATACATTAGGTTGTTTAAAAGAAAAAATATATACGTATGTACAAATTCTATTTTTTTTTTTAAATAGAAAATTTGAATGAGAAATATAAATGAAAAATACGAATAAGAAATTAACGTTAATCGTAATCGGCTTTACTAAATCACTCTAGTGGCATTCTAATATATCTCAAAAACGTACTAGCTAGCACGTCAGGGTACTATGCAAAACTGTTCAGCACCCCACTCTAAAATTTAGACCTATATCTTTATTATAGTTCAGGTTCCTTAATTCTAAATTTTACTAACAAAACTATATATTAAAAAATATGTGAACACCACTGGTGTGATTTAGTGTTATTGAATCGTAATTGACCAAAAAAATTTACTCAAAGTTTTCCTAATAAATCAGTTATCTATTAAGTGAAAAATTTTGCTGAAGAATTTATGTAAAAAATTAATTTCGGCCAAAATTGTGTAAAAATTATGTAATACGGGCAAAAATTTTGTGATCACAATCAAATCGAGAATCTGCCGTGCCAAAGTACTGGCATGCCATGGACTATATCGCATTGGTTGATTTTAATCATGATTATTAAAGATTATTCTGTGCTATGTAGGGGACGGGGATGGTGTTAATCAATTATTCAACCTTAAGTGGCCTTACTCTCGGCAAAAGAATAACATATATGCATGCCAAATTTAGCTACGATAGTTAGTGTGAAGATGATAAAAGTATTGCGGACAAACGCCATAATTAAGTTGGCTCGAAAGTATGATAAATCCATAGTATATGACTATCAAATTTTAGTGTTACCTGGTTAAAGTCGCCTACCGACGTATTTTTATTTTGGTGTGCGGAATACTTTGGGTAAACTCGTCATTTCGAAGCACACTAGTTAAAGATTAGAACTGATTAAAATTTTTCTAATCGTTTAACCGTTTAACCATGTTAATCGTTACTAGAGCCCGGAACTACGAGTTAATTATTATACAGTTAAACGGTTCCAATCCTTAGCACAAAACCAAAAATTGAGCTGTTTCAACCAATCACATTTAGTTTATAAATAATTATAACATTTTGATGACTAAATAATTTTCAAAACTAAAATAAACACCCAATAAACCAAATTTTATTATATTTACTAAAATAATGTTAATAAATCATTATACAGTTTGAATAGTTTTTTTTGTAACACTCTATCCCTGAAGACTAAGTGTCCTTACTATGAATACATTCTAAACATTATTATATATATATATTTTTTTTAAACAACTTCACCGTCCCTTATATCTACATAACCATTTCTTGGTTTTAAATTACCATACCTTTCAAATGGAACATCGTACAGTTCGCGCCAATCTATCTTTTGCATCATTCCACCATGTCCCTGTGACCAGAAATCCACACAATTATTCCAATATCCAAAATCAAAAGGATTTCCATTTCGATCATTGAAATGTTTTCGACGCGTCGTCCTTCTTCCACTAAACATTCTCAAAGATGCAGCTGAATGCTGAGAATTAAGACTAGTATATCTCATACCATGTCTGTGATCACCGCCAAAATTATTATCTGTATTATCGTCTGTTCCATAAATATCATCATCGTCATTATCATCTGCTTGGGAAGTTCTAGATGCACTAGGTGCAGCTGCCAATGTTGCCATAATCTGCTCTCGAACATTTATATTATTATAATTTCCAAAATAAGAATATCGATGAAGATTGGCCATTTCGTAAGTAGTTTTTGCTTTAGCAATTTGATATCCTTGCGTTAATATTAATCCTATTATCCAGATAACGTTTAATCCAATCCAAATATCTATGGATGCCGTCCACATGTCGTAATGAAAAATTCCGCACAGAAAATCATTCAAAAAACATGAATCTGATGAATTTGGTATGTATGGAGGTGTGGAAATCATAAAATCTATTATTTTTAAATAGAATACAGAGGTCATAAAATTAATACGTGAGAGCATTTAAAACATTTTCCTTAAAACTAAGATTAAAATAAAAATAATCATACATTGATAACAGATATACTCAAAACTTATAATCGCTACCACCATCATCGTAAGATACACCATAAATGCGCGATGATTCCTTACTCCAATGCAATTGTGTATCCATGGGCAATGACTAAAGTGAAAAGATAAATAAATCCGGTTTTCGTTAAGCACATTCATTATCACTTTTAGTCATTCACAAAAAAGTAAGAACGTACTGATCAAAGCGAGCGACGCATCTATTACAGATTTTACAATGCTTTGACCTGATGGGTTTTTTGATCTAAATTGAAACCAAAGGATTTTAATAACAAACCTCTGACTGAACATTGTAAAGTTCAATTAGCACTAACCAAGCATGTTCTACACATATGCCTCGAGTCCAGCATTTCTTTATTCGCAAGATCGACTATATACTAAAGCGACAAATGAGTTAATTGGAAAGTATATTATAATACTAAAAATTTACAAATTTAACAATTTCACACTAAGATACCTTCTTTTGATCTTCACGAGAGTATTTGTTTTGGATGTATCCCGGGTCAATGAATAATGCCGTATAAAACGAACACAAGGTTAAAAAAAATGATGTGACAAATATTATATTTGGCACAAGTAAATACGATGTTACTATTGTTAATAAAGTACAAAGAGATTAATAGGATTAATAACGACAATGTCTAGGTAAAATGTAAGTCATTTTGTGCTAGGCTGTTTCAATGATGCACCACAGTAAACATAAGGATGTATACAAATTTGCTACAAAAAACATGAATGCTTAAATCTTTTTGAGTATTAATAAAAAAGTATAGAATAATTAACATACAATAATAGTGCCCTGACACTAATTTTAATCTAGAATCTATTTTGATAACTATCATGACTGAGGCTGGAAATTGGACTTTAATAAAATTTTTCTTGATTTTTTTTAGGATTTAGGATTGGAGGTTATAATAAAGAGTATAAGTGGATTTTAATCCAATTTCTAGTTTCAGTTGTTTCCAGCCTCAGCCGAGAGAATTCATTCATGAATAATACAGTATTGTTATTAAATACTTCGATAACAGGTATAACCTAGCACAGAATACTGACATGCGTGATGATGTTGCAAAATTATATTTAAATACCAAGTACTAATTTGTAAACCCATGTGAAGCCAACCCAAAAAGCGCTTGCTTGAAATAAGCCCGTAAGATAAGGTGTTCGAATCATAGCGTTTGGTGTTTGTGCTCTTATGAGAATTTTTACTATTATCACGTAGGATGTTGTAAATTCCAATAGAGATATAGGTAATCCAATATACCAAGGATAATAAGCCAAAGTTTTTAATATTGCATATATAAGAAAGAATGGAAGGAGATATATAATAGCAAATGTAATACGCTATTTAAATGCGATAAATATTAGAATCAAATCATACACGAATAACCTAAAGAATGAATATTTTTATAAATGATAATGTAAAATACCTTTCCAAAAATATAAGCTCTCATCTTCCCATCTCCTCTTATTCCTGATTCGTGCAACGCCCTTTCCCATACCCTATTAGCTTTCATCTCTCGTGCAATATCCGAAGGAGTTTTCCCATTCTCCTCTTTTGCATTTATATCTGCACCAGCCTCTATTAACTTTCTTAAACATAATGGGTTTCCTTTAATCATTGCCCAATGCAAGGGAGTAAATTGCGCAGCATCAGTTTTGGATACTGATGCACCCAAGTTAATTAATAACTCTACAGTTTGTGGGTCTCCTTGATAAGCAGCCCACATTAAAGGCGTGTGTTGTACAACATCTGGAGTATCAATGTCCATATCATGATATACGAGATATAATACTAGCATAGTGTTAGAAGAATGTGTAGCAATATGAAGCCCATTAAATCCTTGAGAATCTCGAATACTAGGATCCGCTCCGTGGTTAACTAAAAGGGTTACGACAGGTAGATGGCCACTCCTAAACATTTTAAGGAAGAATACATATAGATTTGATTTCTTTTGACATCGCAGGATAAATAAGTAAAATAGGTTTACATGCACACCTTGCTGCCCAATGCAACGGAGTTGCGTCCAGTTCACCACCACGAGCATCTATTTCAGCTCCATTATCAATCAAATATCTCGCCATTACTACATGATTATTGATAGCCGCCCAATGTAAAGGGGTAACATTCTGCGCGTCTCGGTCTGTGGCCTTAACTCGCCCATTTTCGATCAAATTTTTTGCTATATGCAAATTTCCATGTTGAGCAGCCTGATGAATTGTCATTCCTATTTTTCATGTTTATGAATAAATAGATGCGATTCGTTCGAACGGAAGATTATTATCACCGTTTGATAAATATTTATAAATGATAACGTTGAAAAAAACCCATTCTATTCCCCTTTTTTTGGTATTGTAAAAGACAAATATTTTGTAGGTCTTTATTATAAATTCTAATATATCTTTCACCAGCCACCAAAAACTTGCCAATTAGTGCACGATACACAAACTTGTACAGTACCTGAAAAGCTGTCACATCTATTTTCAACAGTCGAGTTACTTACATGATCGTCGATTTTGGGGAGTGAACTCGTAACAGCGACTGTAGTCTTCGCTGCTGCAATGTTAAGTCCTGGCACGTTTGCAGTCCCTGAATTATTTTTGCCATCTACGTGGCGTTCTAATTCAGTGTCTTGAAGTTTCGTGGGCGCCATTTGTGTGGAGGCCTAACAAGAAAAAAAAAAAGGGACACCCGTATTCGACTGCGGTAAATATCTGTTGCCGGCAGGTCATCAGGTCAGAAATGCTACTGCGGGATGTTCACCAAAAATGGAATATAGGACTCACAATTTTCTTAAGTGGTACAAGCGTGTGCACAAATAAAACAAGATGCCGTGTTCTTATGTAATAACAATAATAGTGCTGTCGCCATCGCTATTGTCTATTGTAAACATACCTGCACAATAACGTTTATAGTTGTAACGTCATGTGGCAGAACCTGAACCAGCATTATCGCGGGACAGTTCGGAACTTAGTAAGGAAAGTCTCCAAGTCAACCGACATTTAAAACCGTAAAATCTGGTCTAGCATATAAATATATCAAAGCCCACTGAAAACGTTCTTCCTAGCTGTTCTCCTATTGCGCAATCAAGTCCTATGGGAATTTTTACCAATAATCATTTATTCACACTCGGTTTATTCTTAGTTTGATTCCTGTTTACTGAATGATTCCGGCATGCGATATGCGTGGCATTATGTACGTTATCGAATGTTAAAATCGAATTTTACCCCAACCGTTTTTTGGCGACACTTTTCTTGGAGATTTAATTGTGCGAACCTGCAGAATGAATTGATTCTTTTTACAGATTCAATACTTTCTTTTTTCTTATGTATCTGATATTCAAAATCTTCAGAAAATAAATGGTATAGATAGAATACTAAACAATCTTAATCATTAATGCATATATGCAAACTTTTTCTAAGCGCACCATCCTTAGGTGCACCTTCTCTAAATGCACACTTTAGCTTAGTCCCAAACTTGGGACTTAGTACTAAGTGCACACCTCTACTCTTCGCACGTGCATAAGTCTTTATTATGCTTGCCACCTAAATTCAAATAGCGAAGTCCCAATCCTTAATCTAAGTCCCGAATATAGAAGCCCCAAAGTTCAAAACTCAATTCTATACTGTATACCGACAATTGGCCAGTAAATTACTAACCAATAAATTTTGCATAGTTGTTCATGTAACTTCTGCCCTTAAAATTTGGATCTGGGATTTTTTAAGAGCGAAAGTTCTAGATAGTTTTAACCTGTTTGGAATTTGGATTTTTGGATTTGGATTTTGTGATACTTTGCGGCAAGTATAGTTTCTATGAACTCAGCCGGATATGATATTTCGAGTATCGCTCATAAAAAAGGTGCTTCATATGATTCTTTAAAGTTCATTATTGTTTGTCTCTATTAGGATTAGGCGTTAGCATATACATTAAAATCACCCAAGGAAAACTTTTGCCCGAGTACTAAAGATGGTTTCTTATGCAGATTTTTGGTAAATGGACGTTCAGAATGTTTTGATCGTGTCATTTCGGCTGATCAGCAAAAACTTTGATTGGCCAAATCAAGGAAAAGTCTCCGGACACCTACCAGTTCACGTGATTTTACTTTAGGGTAGGCATACAGGTTTTAGATTTATAATAGGGTAGGTACAAAAACTACCCGAATTGGTAGTGTCCATGTGAACTGGTAGGTGTCCGGAGAAGATCAAATTCACGTTACCCTTGTCTTTAATTTCAAACAATAGAGATAGGTAAACCAATTTTATATCTAAAATATTTAGTCAATAAAATTCCCGTGAGTTAAAATAGCAACGGAATGGAGATCTAGATTTATTCAAAATTAATTGGGAATTTTCGGAATTTAAATAATAAGTCAACATAAAATAAAATACGGTAGAGTTTCTAGATTACAATTATAGTTCAAAATTTTGAAATATTATTTGCAAATTTAATTTTGAGATAATAGCCAACTAAGGCGACTTAGCCATATTAAAATTATCGACTCCAATCACTACTCTCATTGTCATCATTATCATCATTATCATCATCATCGTCATAGTCATCGACATCGATATCATCATGATCATCATCATCATCATCATCATCGTGGTTTTTCCTCGTAACCTTTCCCTAGAAGAAATTTTTAATTTAGTAAATAATTTAAACCAAAAAAGCTAATAATATAAAATGAAACACGTACAGTGAAACCGGTAGGGTGAGACAATTGATATTCCGTAGTGTTCTTGTCAACTTCATATTCTGGGTTGGTGAATAGTTCGATAAATCTTTTGTCTTGGAGAAGGGTTGTCGCTTCCTATTATTTGACGGATGAAATATTTAATAAAGTGACAGAGGCGTGTCGTTTATCATGTATTAATTTAGCACTGCTTACAGTACCCGGGGTATTATTCAAGAATTTCATTTTTAAAATTGAATAATACCAGGTACTTTATTGGTGAAAGTGTGTACTTTATACGATTACCAGTTAACCTCATGTTTTCGTGGTAAAATTACGTGCTAAATGGCATACTCCTCAAGAGCAGTAAAGTTACATGAAATTTTACAAACCTGGGCTCCTTTCTTCTTTTTCTCAGATGAACGTAACAATCGATTTGCTAAATCCTTGTTAACTTTAGGCAATTGTTTAGTTGCACGTATACGTGACTCGCGCTTCGCTTCTAATTTCTCTTTAATAACTTTTTCTCGATATTCCGTATAAGCGAATGGATTTGATATAAGTTTTGCCTATATTATTTGGAATTTTTAGATTTTATCTCGTAAATTAAGAAAATGTGAATATTTACATACTTGTTCATATAATCGCAAATCAACGAAAAATCCATGCATGTACGGTTTCATGACGCTAGTTCCGATCAAATGATCCATACCGAGGCTGCAAACAATCGAATAAAATCCTTAATATGTGAAAATACTTTATGCATACAAATAAATAAAATGAAATATTAGTTCTCTGACCTTGACAATTCTTTTCTCGTAACAAATTTATAATCATCATAAATATTTGGTTGTGGATTTTCTTCTATTTCTTCCTACATAAAAAGGTATACATTTACCGAGTGTAATCATAAAACGAAATGAATTATATAAAAGGATATTTACTGTTAAGTTGTCCAAAAACGAGCACCACCTTGGTGCAGGGCCTAATGAAGGTATATAATATGCACCAATTTGTATACCCTCGTTAGCCATAAAAATTAATCCTGAATCGGGCACAACACACAGATCGTTGATATCAGTGTTAGGCTCCATCGAGGTAAAATGTGCGCCCTTATTGTAAATTTTTCATAAATTGTTAAGAATGAACCCAAATTATTAATTTAAGTAACTAGAACTTATACTAACATTTTCCCGATCCCATATTTTCATAATTTTGCAATCTGCACTAATTACTTTTCCTCGGCCACCGTCACCTGTAGCATTATCATACCAATTTATACTTTTTATCGGGTAACCATATTGATGATCTTTGACTAACCATGGTGAGGAACTTCTTAGATCATATAACAATATGTGACCCGATGAAGTTCCTACTGCCAAAGAAAGTCCATCATTTCTGTATGACATTGCGGTAACTTGAAATCCCTGCTCATTAGATTCTTCTACTGGAAAAGAAGGCGCTAATAATCCAACACGAGATCGTGATCGAGGATCCCAAAATTCTACAACGCCATCTTGTGTTCCAAATCCAAAAAGTTGATGAGCTGGATTTATTGCACAAACATTGACTCCAGATGTGGCATCAGTAGAAATAGGGTTTAAAAATCGGCCTTGATTTAAGTTTAATCGATATACTTCATATGATGCAGCAGTAATTAGAAGATCGCAAGTGGGATAATGATAAGCCAAATCTCTGCCAAACTATATGAATAAAAAAAGGTCTTGATTACAGTGCATATATAATAATTGCTGATATCTTATTTAAGCGTTTACCTTTGGTATTCTTGTTTTATAATATATACCGCCTTGTGTATGGAATTCAATCGTTCTGTCATTTTGTAATAATACTGATTTGGTCCAATCGTCAGATAATATCTATGTATATTATAATTCAGAATAAAAAAATCACTATTTTCAAATAAGTGCTAGGATATCGATTCTCAAAAAGCCAAATGCACATGCACACTACCACAAAGTTAATGTTCTCCGAGTCTGTATGACGATCAAATTTCATTGCCATTTCGGCATACTCGAATATCCGAATTTGAGGTTTATAAACACCTATAAACGGATTTATTGATAAATATTGCTAGAAGTTAAACCCTTTTTCTTTGACGAAAAAAAATTGTATTACCTGTGGCCATTACAAAGCGTCCATCCCTAGTGGTTCTAACTCGAATAGAAGCCTCTGGGAACTCAAAATCTTGAATCAGCTCGACTCTTGAACGCCAATCTATCGGTTAATGTATTCGATTGAGACATTCGTTGCAAAACCAAGACGCAATAATGAAATCAACTCACTAAACCTGGATCATGCTTTAAAAATTTTTTCTTTTTTCTCTCTAACCAGTCGGGTATTGCACGGGAATCAGAGCCGGAGATCGTGTAAATTTTAACATTATTTAGGTTTGACGACTGAAGAACCATTTGTACGTAAGTATATCAAGGATTTTTCATTTATCTGTTATGTAATTCATTAATTGATAATCTAATTCGTATCTTTTGGGATTTTCACTGATCGACATCGAATTGACCAATTAGATTACAAAGATCAGGTGAGACAAGACACTTCATAATATTGATTGTGATCGCGCCAAAAAATCTTTAAGTTCGTTTAAGGTCTATGTTAAGTTTACAATTTTAGTGTTCTAATAGTAAATCGTTCAAGGAAATTTTTTTATTAATGCACAAAAGGTAGTTTCCTATGCAGATTTTTGAGTTACGAACGTTTGTTTTGAATTTTCCTGATCGTGTTGCGCCACAAAAAATCATGGTCCGTGCTTTTTTGGTGGCGATACTGGGGTAGTTCAAAAGCGGTGCAGAATCACGTGATATCAGACAAATCAAATTATAGAATTTTGATGATCGTCGGCGAATGGGGTGTTTCATACTAAATGATTTACTATCATATTGTTTTGTCTCTCATTTACGAGTACATTTATCATGAAGAACATAAATGGGTATAGCCCTTCTGCTATCGAGCAAC